CTCCCATGAGAGGGACACCACATGTGAGCAGGGGAAGAGTCCTCTCCCTAGGAAGAAGAAGTGGCAGAGACGATGTGTGATGAACTGACCTCAACCCCCATTCCCATCCCCAAGAGCCGCTGGGGGGCAGTAGGTAGAGAAGCTGGGAGTAAAGTTGAGCCCAGAAAGAAGGGAGGGGGGGGGGGGAAGGTTTTTAAGATCTAGCAGTTTTTTCTCCTCTCCTTCTCTGATTTTGATTGATAATAAATTAATTACTTTTTTCAAGTTGAGTCTGTTTTGCCCGTGATGGTAACTTATAAAATGGTCTCTCCCTGTCCTTATCTCAACCCATGAGCCTTTTGATTTACTGTTCTCTCCTCTGCCCAGTTAGAGGGGAGTGATAGAGTGGTTTTGGTGGGCCCCTGGCGTCCAGCCAGGGTCAAACCACCACATGAGTAACAAAATAAAACATACAGAGGGATCAAAAAAATTACGCTGTACATATTTATTGCTGTTGCTATTGTTTTGTTATTCAGAGGCTTTCGCACCAACTTTGCAAGGTATTTAAATGTTAGTTAGAGTATGAAAAATCAAGGTGACAAATAGAACAACTTTATTGCTGAAGTTAAACCTATTTGTGTACTGCATTTCAGGGCAAATCCTCGGAATTTTAATTTCGACAATGTGGGGAACGCAATGCTGGCACTATTCGAAGTTCTTTCATTAAAAGGCTGGGTGGAAGTCAGAGATGTTATTATTCATCGTGTTGGGCCGGTAAGAGAACACATCAGAGTCTTTCAATTCTACAACACATACTTTGATTTGTTTTAATTATTAACTTATTTTTGTCTGTGCAGATCCATGGAATCTACATTCATGTTTTCGTATTCCTTGGCTGCATGATTGGACTGACCCTTTTTGTTGGAGTTGTCATCGCTAATTTCAATGAAAACAAGGTACTGAGTGAGGTGGTTTACTGTGTGTAGAACTGGCTCTGTAAGAAACCTGAAACTGATATGACACTGTCTACGTTATCGGGTAAGACTGCCTTTAAGACTGAGTTACCAATCTTACATTCTGCAAGGCTGCAAATATGGCTTCAGACACACCTGATCCATATTTGCTACAAAACTCAAGCCTAGGATGATAGCAATCTGTCACATGCTCCTTCAAAGTTGTCTGAGTTTTTTTACGATGCAGCCATGTTGCCAGACAGAGACTGAACCTACAGCACAATGTATTTATGGATGCTGCAGATTCTGCTGGTTTAGTTTGATGTAGCCATACATGCAGTGTCAGGTAAAAAGACGTGTTACACTTGTACGTGTTACAGCTAAGGGGTCTCATTAGAGCCCTCCAATTGCAGTATCTCAGATCCAGCATAAAGCTGCATGGCTTTTTCCTGGCAAAACAGCAGAGTGCATTGTAAAATTAATTGTCCATCACTCAAACAAAGAAGTAGCTAGTGTTCTAGGAGAAAACTGCTGTTCACGTGGGCTTTACGGATTACCCTGAAAAGTAGAAAAACCTGTCCCCAGGTGGATGGTTACAGAGCAGCTCATGTCTACGCTTGTTAAAGGTAGCATCCTCTGGATGGGACTGCTGTATCCACACTGCACAGCCCTCAATCTGACTTTTTTTTTTCTGAGCCTCTTATGGTACCCCTGTGGCACCAAGACATAATTATTAATTTTTTTTCGTCTTTCAGTTCAAAGTCCTAAAAATTATGAGATGGCTGTGTCACAGCTAGCTAGAGTGATATTTTTATCATTCATGGGACTGGAGGGAAAGGATGATTGTGCACTTTGGAGCTGGGGATGCAAGACAACCAGTGTGCTATTGTTGGAGACAAACTGGGTGCTGGCCATGGCCCTACTATGACCCTGGCTCGAACTCTGTAGCAAATACAACTGCTGATTTTGCCCTTCAGGGAAACCACTTGACTCTTGGAAGGGAGCTGAGCAGCACGTGGCCATGCATCCAATATGGGCAAGCAAGGCATCACGAATTGAAGTCAAGCAGGTTGCAAGCCAAATAAATAGCCTAATCCACCTTTGCTGTTCAGAAGGTGTTATTGTTTGTGTGACTCCAGTGTAATTTTGGTAAGATGATGTGCAGTCATTCTTGTTAAAATGCATCTGTTCTAGAGAACAAGGAGCAATGTGCTATTCATTTATTTTCTTATTTACTAAATTTTGACTAATGAATTAACAAAGCCAACATTTCTCCTGTATGAGAATTCCACTGGATTTTTATAGATGCTTTTCTCCCCTCCTGATCAGCTGTGTAATATTACTTTTCCTTCAAATGTGATGAATACAAAATATTTTTCAGCAAGTCCTGAAAAAAAAGTTTTAAGTCATTTTATTTGAATTACAGGTAATTAAAATGTTATTTGAAATTATTTCTTCATTCCTTTTTACCCTTTCTACACAGGTTGATTTCCTCAAAAACCTGTTCATAGGCACGAGTGTAGGTGAGAAGACAAAATATCACATTACAGAGTTTGCCCTTAAATAGCTTTTGATCATGGCTGATCAAACATCTCTCCTTTACCCTGTTGAGTGCATGTGGTGTTGAGGAGCGAGGAAGTGGTGCGTTTCCCTTTAGTTTTGCACATGGTCTTGAATGTATCTGCCATAAATTCTGAGACAGCGCTGTGGGCAATTGAGAATCATCAGGAGCCACTTGCTGCTCTGGGTTGCTTTGCTACACCTACAGGCATCTACTTTTGGCCACTCTCATAGAAAAAAAGTACCAGAGCAGCTGGATCTTTGCCCTTACTCGTATGACTTTTACTATGCTTTTGTGACAATCGGCCCAATCTTACTAAGAGCTGTCAATCTCCTGGACAGCGTTTTTGCCCTTAGTTCCCCATCTTTCCCTGAGAGTCACTTACAAGTTCAAGTTCACTGTGTCAGCCTGTCTTCTGCAAAGGCAGCTTGTGAGATTTCTTTCACAAGTTAGTGAGATGTCATTAACTCACAACTCATTATTCATCTGTGTAGTCAACTGTCGACTATGGAATAAGGTGATCTGGGCCAACCCACAGGTTACTTTTGAAGTGATTTATCCACAATGAATGTAAATCTTTCACCAGTTTTTTATTTGTGAGGTTTAAAATATGAGTATGAACTGGGGAAAAAAACCCTTAATTATATGTGACTGTGTATCAGATTCATATTTCATTCCCTCCTCCTAGATATGCAGCTTTAAAGACACAGGACAGCTCAAGCGCATGTGGACATTGAAAGTTTGTTTATATTCGCTGTGATTCAAAATGAGAGGGGACAGGAAAGTGAACACGAGGCTTATAAGGATTGTGATCACAGGCGATAAACAATTCATTTTAGCCCAGATTGCCCCTGCAGGATCTGCCACTGTAAATGTAGAAGTCTGAGGTATAGGGCCTGATCTAGGGTTCCCACTATTTTCAGAAAATTACCTGATTTTTACATTTATCGTTTTGGGGTGGTTTTCACTGCTTGTATGTTTTCCTCAAACTGCAGCCACTTTTTCAGATATGAATGCTCTAGTCCCTCAATGCCATAGCTGAATACAGGGAAAGGATTAGTTGGAACGTCAGAAAAGCTACTCACTAACAACAGTTCCCTGTAAATTATGCTGAATAGGCACATCATGCAATATTTGTATAGAATTTACATGACACTAAAAATACAGCTGGTGTAAATAATTCATGAATAATGTCATCTGGTTGAGCTTCTTCAGATGCTTCTTAGTAACCTCAGGTAGCTGCTGTGGCAGGTATTGTTTGTTTTTCTCTCTTTTTTCTTGAATACCTGTTACTTTTAATGTATTTACTATAGGGAAAAGAAAACATTTTCAGATTTGAGTTGAAAAGATAAATATGTTAGTTAATTATCCAGTGGGGGAAAAAATCTCAGCCCAATCAATATTCAAGTAGAGTGAAGAAATTTCCAGGAGCTGAAAAAAAAGTGAAGATAGACAGAAGGCCAGCAATTAGTCCAGAATGAAGACGGCAAAAAAGTTCACTGTGTAAGATTAAGTTGCATCTTCTTTTCACTGTGTAAGATTAAGTTGCATCTTCTTAAATCCAGCCAAGCTATTGGTGTTTTAAGTAGATGTTGGCTTTAGAAAGTTCATGGCTGATAGATGGTTGGAGTAGTGCCAGGAGCTGGTGAGGAGGGTCAGAGTTGGACAATTACTGAATGGACTATTTTACATAAGAATGAACAATTTTCTGGAAAAAAAAATATCAGATGTGCCGAAGTATTTCATGTGATCTGTTGGAGCTGCAAGCCTGGAGACGTTGGCCTGGGAAGTACCACAGGGGGCTCTGGGCTAGGTCCTCAGCTGTCCCAGGGACAGGGCAGTAGCCCAAAACATTCCACCACCACCCATTTCACGACCCTCACACATCACTTGTCACAGCTCCCAAGTGCCACGTGTTCAGTCGGCAGGGAAGATGTGATTGACTCAATTATCTGGCAGTTTTGAGCTGAAGTCCGAATGCAAAGGCAGCTCCTCCAGCAGTAGTCTGGCGGGACTCTGCTCTGTGGTCCCCTTATAATGATCCCGCTGGTGGAAGTGGTAGTTTCTGAGAAACAGAATGACTTGGCATCGCTATTCCTAAATTTTACAAAGGTCAACTTTTTTTGCCACCTTTTGTCGTCTTTGCTGTGAAAGCTTTCCAAGAATATAATCCAGACTTGCTCATTTGGGTGAACAAGCTGCCTTTTAATTTAAGCGTTTAATGACGGTACGGTCTGGGCGTGACACGAGTAATAGGCATCCTTACATCTGTCGCTTTGTCTGCATCGTGTTGGAAGGTGCCTCCTCCCAGGCTGCTGTTTGGGGATGCAGCTCCATGAAGAGATTACGTCCACTGAGAGGAAGCTCTCCTGACCTTATCAGTCGCACAGCCAGCCGCAGTTCCAGCGCCTACACAAGCCAATGCCGAGGCGAGCCCCAAAGTTCACGCCAGCCCTCGCCCCGCTCGGTGCGGCTCCGTGCTGACTGGGGGAGCAGCCGAGTGTTTGGGAGACAGGCTTGTGACATTTACCTTGAAAAGGTCTCACTTGTTTTTGTAACTCCAGACTCCTTCCATGAGATTTTACAGTTCTCTGAAATGATAAGGGCCTCATTTTGTTTTGAAGGTCATTTTAAATAACGTTGAATTCTGTTTGAGGTTTGCTTGTTTCTCCCTATGTTATGAAAACACTTACACAGATCACCATCTACCACCACCTACCCTAAAGGTGTATCTCGACCTCTCCTGGTGCTTCCTTTGTGGAGAGCTCTTGTAGATTCATAGCATACTATTATTTTATTTCAATTACACCCCAAGCAGAAAAGCTGTGGAGAGCAGCAGCGGTCTCCTAGCGGGCTCGTTCCCCGAGAAACTGTAGCGGCACTGACGAGCCGCAGGATTTCCTGCAGCAAAGTCTGGACAAAATCGACCACTCTTTAAAGCAGTGCTTCCTGGCAAATGATGTTCAGTCAAATGGAAGACCTCCTGCAGTGCTTCACTGCCCACACTGGGCTGCTGCTACAAAGAGCAACAACTGCGCCTGCTGAGTTGAGTCCCAGAAACTCGCAGCTAATGCATCCAGAAATCCTCTTGAGTACCTACCGGCTGATGCTTTGACTCCTTTACCCAAACAGTGTGTTATTTAAGGAGAGTTGCATATGTAACTTTATTTCAGGCACCGAAGAGAATGTTGTTTTCATGTTTACAGCATTAAATGTTCCAGCTTTTATATGACGAAAGCTTTATACGCTTCTCTTTGTTTATTAAGGGGACAGCTTTACTGACTGTAGATCAGAGGCGATGGGAAGATCTGAAAAGCAGACTGAAGATAGCACAGCCTCTTCATCTCCCACCTCGTCCGGGTATCAAAGATATTTTGATTTTATTCATGTTGAGCCCTAGTGTTCATAATTCCCCAGGAGTCTGCGATTCAAATTAAAATTGTAATCGTGAGGCCGCTAGGAGGTTGTGCATAAGTTAATGTGGAAACAGGCTCCAACTACCGATCTCTGCATAAGGCTATTAAAATCAACCCAAAAAAGGTTGTGCTTCGATGGTTTTAGGATAAGCCTTAATGAAAAAATGAATTTCTAAATGAAATATATTTGCAGTTGGCTGTTAATGATATGAATGGAATGTATTAACCTGACAGCAGCTGAATGATGCACTTGCCCTACAAGTACCAAAGCCTTCATGCAACACTAGTGTTCAGTATTTGAAATTATATGTTCAGAAGCCCTATTTGATATGGAAAATTGTAGCAGAAAATTAGAAATGTATTTTGAAACTGGTAAAGGATTATTTTGTAGCTAATGAACATGGAAAATATGTCAAGAAATAGGGGGAAAATACCACTGGGTATTTTAACTCTCCTCCTCGAACTCTTTCTTTTTCAGATAACGATGGCTTTAGAGCTAAGATGTATGATATCACTCAGCATCCATTTTTTAAGAGAACTATTGCTGTACTCGTTCTGGCCCAGTCTGTGTTGTTATCAGTTAAGGTAATTGTGTTTCTATTAAGTGTTTCATTATAGTAGTACAGCATGTGTTGCACATTTCCTAACACCAATTAACCATCAGTTGAGCCATTACTGTGATGAATGTAGGAAAACATGATTTCCAGATACAGCAATTTCGGTTGGCACAGATCACTGTAGATTAATTGTAACTTGTGGAGCTGAGTCAATTTCTGCCTTTTTGTAGTCTGGTCCGCTATTTTTAATTTCCAGTTAAGCTGTAAATCTGTGAGAGAAGACTACACCAAGATGCCATTCCTGTCTGAGTACATTTTAAAGTGAAATCTACTTATTAACAAAGCCTGCAAGAAAAGTTAAGGCAATGAAGAGGCATTTAGTTCTGTTTAACAGCTACTCTTCTATAACGGATTTTGTTTGCCTTTCAGTGGGATGCTGCAGATCCGGTGACTGTGCCTTTAGCAACAATGTCTGTTGTTTTCACCTTCATTTTTGTCCTTGAGGTAAAGTAATATATTTTATGACTTCTGGAGACTAAGACTAGTACGTGTACATTTCATTTTGGCTTTAGGGATGTTGTGTTATTCTTCACTACAGTTTTTATTTCTGAACATGTACATTTGAGGCTTCTCCATGTCTCTTGTCTTTAAACATGTGTTGTAGGAATAAACTTTTAATTTGTTATAGTCACGCTTCTCCACCACCTTGAGCTTTGTGTCCTTTTACATATATTCAACTCCGAGCACTTCAACTCGTGTTTCGGTGAGCCCAGTGAACTCTTTTCTTGCAGAAATCTTAGATTAAATTCCCTCTGTATGACACAGGGTCTGTGTTGTATCATGGAAGTTCTGCTCAATCCATTTGCATTTTGCCTGGTCCTTTGGAACAACATGCGGTAATCCCCGCTATTCTGCAGCTGTGACATCATCAAACCCCTCTCAGTTTGGTTTTGGTTTTTTTTAAGTACCAAATTTCATTTTAATACCTTTTAATAAGCTATGTCAAATTCCAGCATTGTCTATCTTTTGTTGCACAGATCTGGATCCTGTGTGGGAACAGTTCTCTGTCCATGAGAAAATTGTCACCACAATGAACTGTGCAAGGTGTAATTAACCTGTTTTCATATGATTGGAATCTAAGGAGTCAAACACATTTCAAAAAGCGTTTTGGTTTTTTTTTAATGTATAAGGCTATCTTTAGTGTAACAAGGCATACATTTATGAGGTTAAAGAAGATGCTCCCTCTGTGGTTTGGTTAGTGCGTAATTCTTTTATAAGTTTGTGGTTGAGTATTTTGCTTTTCAGTCCCCTCTGAATAGCTGATACTGACCACTATCAGAAACAAGATAGTAGACTACATTTCCCACTGCTCAAATCCAATATGACAGTTCCTATGTTCCAGTGATAGGTTTTGCCAGCAGTGATGAATAAACAATGAAGTGAATGCCTTGTAGCAGCTGTAGCTAGAGTATGCCCCCATTGTTGCTTCTTTTTTCCCTACCCAGGAGAAATCAATATCTCTTGAGAGATTGAGCAAACACAGAAAAGTTTGATTTGTATCGTACTCAGGCAGGTTTTAATTTACCTAGTAACTATGTCTTTCAAAATAGTTTTTTCTCATATACTGCCAGGGGAAACAAATACACTTCTAGAATTTCAAAGGAACTTTTTCAGAGCCAAGAAGAATTTGATGACTGTCTCAACAGGCAAGCTATCACACTGTGAGCGCACGCGATTTATGGACAGAGGAAGCAGCTTCCTGCCCAGGATCTTCGCTAATGCAGCATAGTCTGGTTACAGAGTCTGCCATGTACACGGTCTGTGAGCTCTAGCAGACATGGTCCACGAGGAAGGCCAAAGCTTTCTGCATAGCTAATGGCCCTGTGTCCAGTCCTAGGACTCCCAATTCAGTCTTAAACCTCTACTGCTCACATCAGTGTATGTGGTATGGAAGAACAGGAAGAATTCGGAGATCTCGCTTTTGTTGCCACACTAATGATCACAAAATAAAGTGAGATGTGATTTTTTTATTTGCATGGTGTGGTATTCAGTTCAAGATTGTAGACGTCTGAACTTAGGTGTTTAAATTCTACATGTGAGGTAGGTGTTTAAGCTGTCACTGTGATCAAGGGAGATGTAGGGTGGGATGCAGTTGTCTAAATAACTGAAGGCATCAAAAGTTTTTTTGGGTACCCTAGCCGATCTTTCCTTACCTCCACTAGCCACTACAGAAGGGTGGGGATGTTTGCAGGTCTTGTGTCATCCCTGCCAGCCCCATGCATCTATCTCCAATATTCTAGTGCATCTCAGCTGACTGGATAGAGGTGAGGCAAGATACCTTTAGGTACCTCAAATGATAATTAGAGATTCAGAGACCATATTCTTCATTTTGTAGTCAGGCTTGAGGAAACATTACATGGTGAAAAACTAACTGGAAAATGAGACTTTTACGTCAAACTAGTGTCCTTTTATATACAATTTAGGTTTCAGAAATTTAAAGAATCCTACTAAATTGCAGTGTTGCAAGATGGGATGGAAAGAACCATATACTGAATGTCTGACATTTATAGCCTTTATATAGTAACACTAGACTTGCTTTGAGATTTGATACAAATTGTGTATGAGAAACTCTCTGGTGTCCCCTCTACCTGCATCACCCTACCTCGATATCTGTTGGCTGTTGTGACTATTTCTTACCAATATCTGTTCTTAAGCTCCCCGCCTGCACTCCTATTGCCTATATTGGAACTTTCAAACACTTTGGCTGCTGTTTTTTACCCGGAACATAGTAAAATGTACTGCCTTTACTGTTCTTAGCTTTCTTCTCTTATATGCTGCTGAGTACAGATGGTGCTGAGTACAGATTATTCCTTAAAGCAATTCCTTATTTGCAATATAGAAATGCTTTTTAATTCATTTGGAATATGGGAGCTACAGAAACAGTTATATTCTTGAGTTCAACTGTGGTTATGTGATTTTAGCCTGCTTATGGACAGCTGGATAGATAGGATACTACTACCTCTTTTAGCTACACATTATCAATATAATAATTTTCTAACTTCATAACTCGCTTAACTATTAGAAACCTTAAGCCCACATTCTCCTCAGCAATCTATAGATTAAGCATTCAATCTGAGGTGGTCAGCTGTACTCATTTGATACTTGGAGAGAGGCACTTCCAGAATACTGCTCATACCCTCATCTCAGTCATCTGTGGTCTTCCATGAGTACCAGCTTTCCTCCGTCTAACGGAAGCTTATATGATCCACTTAGTCTAGCAGCTAACTTCTCTTCATGGGAACAGTTAGCTGACATGAAAGCTGCCCTTGGTTGTTTGAAAACATTCGTAAGAGGAACTCAATCAAACATTTTAGAGGTTCTTATAGTAAGAATTAACCATTTCTTCAGTACAACTGAGAAATTGTTTTTATCCATAGGTCACGATGAAGATTATTGCCATGTCACCTTCTGGCTTCTGGCAAAGCAGAAGAAATCGGTACGATCTCTTGGTGACATCTCTTGGAGTTATATGGGTGATACTTCATTTTGCCTTACTGGTAAGATTGACAAAACACAATTTCAATGATTAAGCTTGATTTTATCTGCTAAGCACCAGCAGTAGGATCACTGCTGTATATCCAGATAAAACCTCAGGAGTTTAATAAGGCTGAAATATGGCTGAAACAAATTAAGCTTGATGCTAAGAAGAAGGAATCCTTGACTTTGGCAATGATGAAGTACAAAAGTTGTCTGTAAAGACAAGTCTGTAAAGAGTCTGTAAATGTGGTAAAAAACTGAAGTCTTTGGAAGGGATGTGAGTGAGGAAAGGAACGAACCTGAAGAGACTGAGAGCTCTTGCCAACAGCAGTCTCATGAGCAGCAAGGAAGAAAGAGTCAATGCACAAAATCCAGATAGGAACAGAGGACTGGAAGAAGGCATAGGCTAAAAATTGCTGATCGGTACAGTCTGTCCCAAACCCAGCAGTGATTCTGGATACTGGTTTTGGGCTATGTTTAATCCAAGAAGGCATGGAGAAAAGGGGAGGAAATCAACTCTCCCTCCATCTCATCCCAGTTTTTTAAAGTTGGCTAAACCCTAGTTCCCTTACTTATGAGGGAAGTAGAAGGGGCAGTTGATGCTTGTCACCAATCACAAGTTGTGGACGTCACCACCCTAAAATGGCTGGGGGCTTCTCTCTTGTCTGCCCCAAGCTCTGTCTGAAGGAAAACCTGTCTTGTGTGGCTGGGCATTTTGTCTTGATATCCACAGTTTGCTCCCTGCTGCTGAGTAGCCTGGAAAGCCTGAGAAGTTTCTGTAAACCAGCAGCTGCCTACACAGGTAGACTGGGGCTGCTGGACGTAATTACAGCCTAGCTAATAGAGGATTGAAGGTTTTTTGGTTTGATGTGTGGGGAGGTTGGGTTAGTGTTCTGCAAGTTGTAGAACATCTTCTGCTAGTTTCTTTCTGCTCCACTGTTATTGAAATATTGGTGCTACTCATTTATGATTTCTCTTTTTTCATATGGGGACTGCCCTCCATTATTAAAAGACCAATTATCCTAATCCTTGCATGAGATCCCTGGGAGACAATGTATCAAGTATTCTGTGTTTCTGTTCCAGAATGCGTACACATACATGATGGGGGCATGCGTAATTGTCTTCAGGTTTTTCTCAATTTGTGGGAAGCACGTAAGTATACATTAGGAACTACAACCATTGCAGTGCTCATGTATAGATTAAAGGACTAGTTGCTACACATCTCTAGTGCACATTCTGTAAGGCTCCACTTTGTATGCCAGAAAAAAGGAGACTTCAAATCAGTCTCCCAATTTTACACATTGTCTTTAAAATGTCAGGATTTTAGGTATGTTGTATAATAGCACTATGTTATGGTTCCAAGAAAAAAAAAAAAGTGCAATTGCAATACCACACAGTTTTTTTTAAAATGCTCTCTAAAACTCTGAAGATACATTGTGCTACTTTCAGTCCTTGCCATTTGAGTGTGGGGTGATGTGCATGCTCTTTATCTATTTTCTCTCTGCAACTAGTGGAGTGGCGGTTGATGCATTCATCTTGTTATGATAGTGCTCTCTTACAGAAATGTCTTCCTTCAGAATGCAGGTCTGTGTCTTGTATCTCTACAATGTATGTCTTATCACAGTACAGGATTTATGTTCAATTTAAAAAAATATTGGGCCAAGTTATTCTTCTGGAAACACTGAGGTGACGACAAAGCAAAGTTTACAGTTCTTTTGTGTTTGGATTTGCTCTGGTGTAATTGAGAGTAGGCTGGCAGAATAAGAATAGGCAGAGAACAAACAGATTTGTTTAACAAGTGGTGACACTCTGCATTCTCTTGCTGTAGAACTTTTTAGACTATCCAAACATTTTCTGTGAAGTCTGACATATTAAAGTAAATGTGATAAAAAGACTGCTGTACTGGGTTGCTGGGGTTAAGGACAGTAAGTCAGAGGGTTTGTTCCGTAAAGATAAAAAGTTTTCCTTCAATCAAACTACACAGAGCCTGTAGAGCCTTGGAAGTCAAATGAAAAATCCTTGCTTCTCCTATGCAGCCAGGCCGAGTGATTGCCTTCAAAGCTTTCTGATTGATTCTAAAGTTTTTTCAAGGTTTTAACCTACTCATTTGTGTTTTCATGTTAGGAGCTGCATCAGTTTCATTAATTTATCCATTGTTATGCAATGTGATGGCTAAAAGTCAGCACACGTTATCAGTTTGGCATGATTCTAAAGAAAAAAGCTACCCTCAGTCCCATTAAAGAGAATTTGCTATAGCATCCAAAGTGGTTAAGGGTGTTAGGGCAATCTGGGGCAATAACTTGATCAAGAGTAAGATGTACAATATGCATGCATGGGAGAGTAATATCTATTATCCAGGCCTACTGCCTATGTAATTTCAAAAATTATGCTCTCTTCTTAAGCTCTTTGGCCAACTTGCATGAGAAATTAACTAGTTTAATCGAGCTGTGCTGATCTTAAAGAAATCCCCTTCTCTGTACATCAACCCATTTCTTTAGGTAGGCTTCAGTATCTGTGATTTCCACCTAACAGTTAGCATCACTTTCAGATAAGTCCAAAGTAGTGTAGCAGCATGGTGCATGCAATGCTAATTTTGATACTTCTGGAGTATACTGATCCTAGAACATTGTAGTAAAGCTTATGCTGTATTATTGCTGTATTAACCTACACTGATTTATCCTATACAGGCTCTTTGAGGAGCAACGTAGATTGTAGATTAGGCAGATATGCTGATCTCTTTAACAAGTAAAAAGCACACTAAATTTCAGAGGAAAACGCAAAATGTTCAGTTCCAATCAGATTCATAACATCCCATTGGACACCATTTCCCACACCATTCTCCTGGAGAAACTGGCTGCTCATGGCTTGGACGGGCATACTCTGCTGGGTAAAAAAATGCTGGATGGCCGGGCCCAAAGAGTGCTGGTGAATGTAATTAAATCCAGCTGGCAGCTGATCACAAGTGGTGTTCCCCAGGGCTCAGTATTGGATCCAGTTCTGTTTAATATCTTTATCAATGACCTGGACAAGGATCAAGTGCACCCTCAGCAAGTTTGCAGGCGACACCAAGTTGGGCGGGAGTGTTGATCTGCTGGAGGGTAGGGAGGCTCTTACAGAGGGATCTGAACAGGATGGATCTATGAGCAGAGGCCAATTGTATGAGGTTCAACAAGGCCAAGTGCCAGGTCTTGCACTTGGGTCATAGCAACCTCATGCAACACCACAGGCTTGGGAAAGGGTGGCTGGAAAGCTGCTCCGTGGAAAACCTGGGAGCGCTGGTTGACAGCTGGCTAAACATGAGCCAGCAGTGTGCCCAGGTGGCCAAGAAAGCCAGCTGCATCCTGGCTTGTATCAGGAATAGTGTGGCCAGCAGAAGTAGGGAAATGATCGTGCCCCTGTACTCAGCACTGGTGAGGACACACCTCGGATACTGTGTTCAGTTTTGGGCCCCTCGCTACAGGAAAGACGTTGAGTTGCTGGAGTGTGTCCAGAGGAGAGCAACAAAGCTGTTGAGGGGTCTGGAGCACAAGTTTGATGAGGAGCAGCTGAGGGAACTGGGGTTGTTTTGCCTGGAGAAGAGGAGGCTGAGGGGAGACCTGGTCGCCCTCTACAACTGCCTGACAGGAGGTTGTAGGGAGGTGGGTGTTGGTCTCTTCTGTCAAGTAACAAGTGATAGGACAAGAGGAAATGACTTCAAGTTGCACCAGGGTAAGTTTAGATTGGACATTAGGAAAAATTTATTCACCAAAGGCTTGTCAAGCATTGGAACAGGCTGCCCAGGGAAGTGGTTGAGTCCCCATCCCTGTAGGGATAAAAGGGATAAAAGACAGGTAGATGTGGTGCTTGGGGACATGGTTTAGTGGTAGACTTGGCAGTGCTAGGTTTATGGTTGGACTCAATGATCTTAAAGGTATTTTCCAATCTAAACAATTCTATGATTCTGTGCCTTCACTGGGCTCACCTATTAACATATATGTGTAAAGAATTCATTGTCAAAATGACAAGTGCAGTAAGCCTCTTTTCCCTTTTATCTCTGCTTTCCCGAATGGTGTCACATTTTGCTTTTTCTCTGTCCTTCCAGGTGACACTAAAAATGCTACTCCTGACTGTGGTTGTCAGCATGTACAAGAGTTTCTTCATCATAGTGGGAATGTTCTTACTGCTTCTTTGTTATGCTTTTGCTGGAGTGGTTTTATTTGGTACAGTGAAATATGGAGAGAACATTAACAGGTACAGTATGTGCTACCTCATGGGAATGTTCTTTAAACAGCCTGAAAAAAACCACATTCTGCTAGAGAGAAGTTCATCCGTGGTAAAAACCAGACAAGTCCCCAGGTCTAGCTGAAAAGCTCTGAACAGAATTTCTGGTAGGAGGCGCTGAGCCATCTTTCCAGTCTTTGTGCATTGGACCAAATGACACCCAAGGCAGCCCAGAACAGACTGAGAGCTGTGCTTCATTATGCCAGATAGAAAATGCTTCAAAGCAGCACTGTACTAGCTGCAAGCTGCTGAAACACAGTGTACCTGCTACACCTTATCAACATCACCCAGGAACAGGATCCATACACCAGGCTGATACAGAGGAGGGACAGTTCTGTGAACTGGCCATTAACTGGAGATTTCCCAGTCAATAGCATCATCAGACTTCAGGAAGAGAATGGAGACAGGAGATAGGATCTGGCCCTGAGTCTGCTTTTGTTCTTTGATAAAATGAGCCAAAATACTCAGACCTGTGTCTGAGCTAAAGTTCAGTTATTATGCCTTATGTCATGGAATAAATGATTCTGTGAGCTCATTCAAGTAATTCCGTAACTATTTTCAGTTTAAAATAGTAGAACGGTAGAAAACGGAAATGATTTGTGTTTTTTCTTGCCAACATTTTAGTTCTGGGATGTCAAGTGATACCTCTCTCTCTCTCTCTTTCTCTCTCATTCTTTGAAACAGACATGCAAATTTTTCATCAGCTGGCAAGGCTATTACTGTACTCTTCAGAATAGTTACTGGAGAAGACTGGAACAAAATTATGCATGACTGCATGGTAAATACAATACTGCCAGATAAAGTAGGCAAGAAAGTGGAGACACCCTTGCATCTCATAGTGCTTCTGGTATCTTAGCTTTATACAAGGACTGTTGTGGTTGCCTTTATCTCTTCAAGAGCTATGTTTGCTAAACCTCAGAACATGACACACAAATTGCAGTTCCAATCACACACTCAAAATGTAATATTTCATGGGGCTAGGCTATTACATTATTTTAAAACAAAAATGAAAAGATGTTTTCAAAATCAGAAGTGCAGTAACTCACTTTTCCACTGTTATCTCTGCTTTGGCTGTGGTAATGTGACTTTTCAGATGAACTTTGTTTTTAATGCCTGCACTTTGGCTCATTCCATGTGAATGATAGTCTTAGTGACCTCAAAATTTGTCCTGGAATCATTGCATTTTGCCCAAGTAAATTTCCATCTGTGGTTTCCATTGCGATGAAAATCACATTCTCTTCCTTTTTAAAATTAATGGGCAAGGAAGCTTTTTGAAAACCACCATGTTTCAGAGCACCAAGTTGTTTCTTTACAATGGCATAATGCACAATGTGCATGGTGTATGGCAGGGAGATCCATGCCTAGGCCTTTTCTGTCATACCCCTCTCTTTTCTGATTTCTGACTGCTAAAGGGACAAGAAAAAACAGCTCACAATAATGCCCACAACATTATTCCCTATTTGTGAAGCTTTAAAAAAATTATAGACATAAGTATTCTATTCATTGTAGAGAAATTAAGAATCAATTTATGATTGATTGACTTTGTTTTCTTTTGTTTTGAAGGTTCAGCCTCCCTTTTGTACACCAGATAACAGCACCTACTGGAAAACAGACTGTGGGAATTATGCTGGTGCTCTTATGTATTTCTGTTCATTTTATGTCATCATTGCATACATCATGCTAAATTTGCTTGTTGGTAAGTCAAAATATACATTAATAACAAAAAGGTCCATCTTGGCCTGTAGTATGTTAGATTTGAGTCTGTTATGCTATTCATGTGTGAGGTTACCTTGTACCTTCACTGTTATATGAATATGATGTTTTTAATACTTCTCTGCCACGGTGTATGCTAAAACTCAGGAAGTTTGGGAATGAAATTTTTTTTGAGCAGACGTGTTATATTTGTAGAGTATAGTTACCCTAAGGAACATTATTTTCTGAGCTTTTCCTTCCTCCAGTTAACATTTTTCCAACATTGTTGGAATTGTCCTAATTGATTTTAGAAGATGTTAGATTAGGTATCTCACCAGCATTTAAGATACAGCTTTTAAAAGTAAGCACAGTGAATACTGATGTAGCGACAGATAAAGGCATTTATTTGTGTGAAGTTTGCACAACAGCATTCCTATTCTGTTGAAATTAATTGTTGCTTACAGAGAATAACCGGTTAGAATGTAACTTTCTTTACAGTGTATTTTGATTTTGTGGTTTTCAGCTATCATTGTGGAGAACTTCTCATTGTTTTACTCAACCGAAGAAGACCAACTTTTAAGTTACAATGATCTTAGGCATTTTCAAATTATATGGAACATGGTTGATGACAAAAGAGAGGTAAGAAACTTGACAATGAGCACATTTTTCCTTGAAAAATTGTAAGGGAAAACAAGGTGTGCTGGGAAAACTCACCGAGTGGTTATTGTTAGGTTGTGAAAGTTCAGTGAGCATGATGTGACATTGTTCACGGCCCTTCAAATATTAACCTGTATTCTTTACTACTGTGAAGTACTTACTTATAATAGTAGATTTAAAAACAAATGTGGAGATTCATAGGATCAATACAATAGCATCTTTCCTCCCAGTTCCCTGAGATTTGGTCCATTGGAAGTCTACAGACTCACATCCATTTATGTGCCTGATCCCCTGAAGGGCTTTGCTGAGATTTCAGCACTGTCTCCTGTAAGATCCTCATAGACAAGCTGATGAAGTACGGGCTGGATAAGAAGACGATGAGGTCTGAATGGCTGGGGCCAGAGGGTAATGATCAGCAGCACAGAGTCTAGTGGGAGGCCAGTAACAAATGGGATCAATATTGGGTCCTATCCCATTCCACATCTTCATTAACTGCCTGGATGATGGGGCAGAGTACACTCTCAGTCAGTTTGCAGATCACACCAAACTGGGAGGAGTGGCTGATACAGCAGAGCATCATGCTGCCATCCAAAGAGACCTAAATAGGCTGGAGAAATGGGATGGCAGGAACCTCATGTGGTTCAGCGAGGGGAAGTGCAAAGTCCTGTACCTGGGGAGGAACAACCCCAGGCTCAGTACATGGCGGGGGCTGACCAGCCAGAAAGCAGGTTGGCAGGAAAGGACTTGGGAATCCTGGTGGACACCAAGTTGAACATGAGCCAGCGATGTGCCCTTGCAGCAAAGAGGGCTGATGGTATCCTGGGCTGCATTAGGTAAAGTATTGCCAGGAGGCCAAGGGAGAGGATCCCTCCCCTCTACTAAGCACTGGTGAGGCCACACCTGGAGCACTGTGTCCAGTTCTGGGCTCCTCTATACAACAAAGACATGGACATACTGGAAAGAGTCTGGCAAAGGGACACGAAAATGATGAAGGGACTGAAGCGTGTCTCCTGTGAGGAAAGGCTGAGAGAGCTGGGACTGTTCAGCCTGGAGAAGAGAAGGCTCGGGGGGATCTCATCAATGTATATAAATACCTGAGGGGAGGGTGCAAAGAGGACAGAGCAAGGCTCTTCTCAGTGGTGCCCAGTGGCAGGACCAGATGCACTGGGCACAAACTGAAACACTAGAGCTTTCCCTCTGAACAGCAGGAAAGACTTCTTCACAGTGAGGGTGACTGAGCACTGGCATACGTTATGCAGGGAGGCTGTGAAGCCTCCATCCTTGGAGATATTCAAAACCTATCTGGACGTGGTCCTGGTTGACCGGCTTTAGGAAGCCCCACTTAAACAGAGGGTGTTGGACAAGGTGACCTCCAGAGGTCCTTTACAACCTCAACCATTCTGTGATTTTGGGATGAGAAGAGCATCTGGGAGATTGAGCTGTTCAGATACCCACACAAGTTAAATCACCGCCTGACTGATTCATGACATCACTAAGATTTGAATATGAACAACACTATGCTGAAATAAGTCGATTGCCTGTAGTTGGCATGTGACTGTGCTGGAGATGGAAGCTGCAGTCTGTACTGATGGAGGCGGAGGGTTCTGCATCCATCATGCCCAGGACTGACAGTATCTCTCTCAGATGTGGAACAACACATCACAGCAAATATACTTCCAGTCAGGCTTATTTAGCAGAACAAAATATTTAAAGAATAAGAATAACAGAGTTTTGGAGGGAAATACTTTCAGTGTTCACTTTTTACAGTAGATCAAAATTGTTGTCACAAAAAGTGCAACATGTGCTAGGTTGAGTCTTAGAGCAGAAGACTTCTGACAAGCCGGTAAACTCCCAACATTCTCCTGCCCAAAGATGCACAGAGAAGAGGACAATTTTACAGCCAGGTATAGGCCTGGCTGTGAATGTTTAAATTGTAGTTTAATTTCAGTTTTTCAAAGGCAGCTATTTGGGCATATAATTCTCATTATAGATTAATGCAAATGGGGAAACTAAATCCCCAAGCAATTTTGAAAATTTCTGACAAAATTAACAGCACAGATTCCCATTTTAAATCAGTCAAATAACAGCAAAGGCTTCCATGAACTACAGCTGATGTGCATGTGCTGAAGAGCTGGCTGCATGTGTATATTCTTCAGTAATGTATTCACAGTGACTTAAATAGGCCAGGATTTGAAAAAAGAGTGTTTCTCTCACTGATCAAGTTGAATGTCTGCATTGGTTGCTAGGTCACAGTAATAATTTACCAGCTGTTATGCAATTTTACTCAGGGAGTAATCCCTACCTTCCGTGTGAAATTTCTGCTGAGGCTTCTGCGGGGCAGGCTGGAGGTGGATCTTGACAAGGACAAGCTGCTGTTCAAGCACATGTGCTACGAAATGGAACGGCTCCATAATGGTGGCGATGTCACTTTTCATGATGTGCTCAGGTACAAGATTTTCTCTAAATCTGTAGAGTGGGTGTACTGACCTGTGTTTCTCTCCAGGCTAAAGGATATTCCTTAGGCTTGGGAAAAGGCAAGATTGGTAGCCAGAAAGGCTACAGCTGCCATTTTAAATGTAATACAAAACTTAGATGTCCCCCTTTTTCCTGGAAAAATATTTGTGATGGAAAACACAGATCCTAGAGAATCAGCTCTCAGTAATTTTAATGTTTTCATTTGAGCCAGTTTGTCTTAAACACCAGTCTCATGTTGTTCTTGTATCCCAAGCAATGCAAAGTTATGCCCACAAATGTATCAACACGACAGTGAATATGATTGGAAATGAAACTGAGATGGGAACATTATCCAGGAGTAAACACTTTTAGGTGAAAAAAAAATCCCAAACCCACAAATACCCTAGCTGCTTACAGGTCAGCAACTCAGCTGTATTGGAGTAGCTAGAAGTAGGTGATAGGGTCTTCATTTGTTTTGAGTACCACAAGTCTCTTCTGGAATCGTCTCAGCATTTTTTAGCTTCATATGTGAATTTATTGCACACACGTGGATTATGTCTTTTTGCACTAAGGTCTTAAGTTTGAGCTTTAACATTCTAAATTAAAATGTAAGGTCACCAGCACTTAAAAAAAAATGTTTCTTCCAGCATGCTTTCATATAGATCTGTCGATATCAGAAAAAGTCTTCAACTGGAAGAGCTGCTTGCTAGGGAACAACTGGAATATACCATAGAAGAGGAGGTGGCCAAACAGACCATACGCATGTGGCTGAAGAAGTGCTTAAAGCGAATCAGAGCAGTAAGTCAAGCTAAACCAGGATCTAAATGGTTGCAGAAATTGTACTGCTCAACAATGCTGGAATTTGCTGTCACTATGCTTCATTTACTCTGGAGTCATAATAATATTTATGTGAAGAAGTATGTAGCAGTTGCTCACTCAGCAAAAAAAAAGCGTGTTACAACTCAGTTGAAAGTGCTACAAAAATAAGCATCTTTTGAAGGCAAAAACTGTCTTCCTGCCAAAAATTTATCTGTCTTTTCAATACAGCAGGAAAATGCATACGCAGAGACCAAAGTCAAAGGAATAAAGAAAAAACAATGTAATTTGCTGAAACCTCATAGGCCTAATCCTTCCTCACAGAATGTAATTGTATAATTTCCTTGCCTCTGCTGGGAGAAAATACTATGATCAGTCATCAGCGGATGACTCTTCAAAAGGAGTCTGTATCAAGATACATCATTTGAATAAGCCATTACAGTCACTGTGTGTGCAAATGAGCAATGTGTACATGCAAATCAGGTATATGAACCGTGGCAAACAGTAGCTGTGTCTATGCCAGGAAAATAAGCAAGGCCAAGGCATTGGCTCAGGACTGGGATGGGGTCACCCATACCCATTAGCATGTTTCTTGGCACAGTTTTGGCCCGTGCGTATTCATACTCTCCCAGATCACTGCCACAGGAGCATCACTGCCCTCCAGGCATGGGCCAGGGTGGAGACTGCTCCCAGCAGGCAGTGGTTGAAGCTGTCTTGTATGGTAGCAGCCAGATCATGCAAGTCCTGGCCTGTCACTTATCTTCAGCACTGCAGGAAATCCCAGTCTGTTTAATTTACTAGTATAGACCTAGCCAATGCTCCTGTATTCTCTTTACGCAGTGCTTTTGATCTTCAGAAACAATTTTGCCTTTGCTCAAGGTAGCTACAATATATGCGGGTCGAAGTTTGTCTTGGATGAAATTTATATTTAAAAAATTCAGGAAATTTGAATTAGGTTTCGTAGGTATTCTCCTCTTTTCTTCCAAAACCAACTCTTCCTTTATATAAAAAGTCACAACCTGGTTGCCTTGATGACTGATTTTTCATAAGACTGAGTCCAGGTTGTGGTGCATGTATTTTTTATTTTTATAAAGGCTTGCTTCTTGTGAGTGGAGGTTTTCCACAGAGATTTGTGATCCTGGGATCTGTCTTCTTCTGTTTGTAAATTTATAAAAAACCATAACTGGACAATTTGAATGTAATGTACATTCCAGCTGAAACATCAATGTTCAAGGCATATTCAGATAGATAGTTTCATTTTGATCTCATCTCTGTAATAATAATGGCAGTAAATTTAATCTCGGCTCTCAATTCTGGTTTTGTTCAACTCTATTGTTCATTTCATTATGATATTGAATTACACTATGTTAAAGTAAATATGCTATTCATTTCACTCTAATAATGTGGTTCAGATCATTTCACATTATATGAACCTTTTATAAACTGAATGTAATTATGGAAGTTAATATATATTTTCAAATATATATACTCATGTTAGTCTCTAAGTCTCTCTAGAGGGAGTATGTGAAAACTACCCAGGAAAGTGAAACCCTTCCTAAGGGCTGTTTATTTTAATTTAAAAGCAAATTAGATTGTAAGATCATAATGGTAGTGGGTTTGTTTTTCTATTTGTACTGTAAATCCATACTCAGTCCCAAGCTCTTCACTATTGTTTCATCCAGTCTTATTGACAGCCTGTTCCAAAGTCCATGAGAGAAATCAGAATTTTTTCATTGCCTTCATGTAATTCTTAGTGACTCCCTACCAATTTCCTTCTTTTTCTTTGCAAGAACTTCTAACTCATAAATTCAAAACTTCGTATGTTTTTAAACTCTAGGTTTAAACCAACAATTGAGCAACTTGCCTTCCACTCAATATAGTTCATAAATTTCATCCTCTATTCCCTACATAAAGGTTAGACATATGCTGAAAGTCATTTTATTGAAATAGCATCCAGCTTTATCAATACACCTGGTATCCACATCTGGTGCTCACTGTTTGGTTAAATATTTAGAAGGCTTTAAAAAAAATCAAACACTGTGACACACCAATAAGAACATTTCTGTTGTCACATATTGTACCTTGCTAGAAACAACAGCAGTCATGCAGCATTATCCATAGTCTACGAGAGAGTCAACAGCAGGAGTTGAGCCGATTCCTGAATCCTCCCAGCATTGAGACAACACAGCCAAGTGAAGAAATGAATGCTATTAATCAGGATAACAGTGCACAGCCAGAGGTATGTTAACCAGACGACTATCAGCTACTCAGAACAAATTCAGAAAACTTCCATGTTTCTTGTTTGTTCTTCTTTAAACATCGTTTTAACTGGAAAAGTTGAAAGCAGTATCTTGGTTTGCTTCAGTCTTTGCCTTCAGGTGTAAAGGCAAGATGGTCCAAGGCAGTAATTCCTAAGATGGTCCAAGGCAGTTAGCTGTCTTGCTAGCACCATAAAGGGTAAACTCAGCTGTACGAGTCTGGCAGTACCAACTTTCAGCTCTAGCATGAGCTGTGTACAGGCTCAGGCACTTGAAGTTTTCCTGTTCAAGCATTCCAAAGTACTTTTTTACGCCGAGAGTGGTAACATTGGGCATGCTGGGTCCTGTGAGTAGGAGTCCTGGGCTCTTCCAGGGTTGGGAGTGAAGAAGGTACAACATCAGGGCTCCACTGTATAAGGCTGAGAACAATTTTGTACCCTTCAGTGGAATATAACAAAATTGAGCCCAAATGGTCTTTTTTTTTTCTGTTAGTAGTAGTTTTCCAGGGCAATAAAGAATAGAAACCATGCTGCCTTAACATATGGCAATATATTTTGTTTGTGTTCATGTATAAAGCTTGTGAATAGAATACAAAGATAACCCATTTTAGGATTATCCCCATGTGTTGGGGAACTATAACTGAGATTCTTTTTTCTCTGTTCAGACAAGCAGCCAGCAGCAGCTCCTTAGCCCAACGCTTTCTGACAGAGGTGGCTATCGACAAGACTCTGCAGATGCTGGGAAACCTCAGCGGAAATTTGGACAATGGCGTTTGCCATCAGGTACATGAAAAATTGTATCAGTATAGCCCCCCCTTGCAAAATCACTGTTGTACAATAACAAGGCTTCCTGATTCACCGTTCTACCTCCTGCCTGCTGCTTGCACCCACATCCGGGTTTTTCTACCCTCATGCATGCTGAAATACAGCAATCTCTCCACTTCCTCCCAATTCTGAAAGTTTGGAAGGTGGGCTCAAGCATTGCCATATGCAGGTTTTGGGGCTTTTTTTAACTTTTTCATACATTTACTCAGAATCTTTGGATTGGGGGCTGTACCGTCCCATAGGTTTGGATAGCATCTTGTGCATTTAGAGTTCTCTTTTATCATATAAAGCACAGTGAAAGTGAATGAAGTTTTTCCTAACAACAGTAATAACTTCTGAGTGCCTTGTTTTGCCTAAGCATACCATATGCTATGTGATTTATGATTTATGTGTATGATTTATGATTTATACTTTACACCATAATAATACATTTTTATAGCTTCACTTCAGCCAGGAATTTGCCAGGTATACAACTTACCATTTATTTTCTCACAAACAGGAAACATCCTCAAGTTATTCTAGTAACTACAGTCCGCTAGAAAAGAAAGGCTAGACTATGCCTTGTAGGAGGGTGCTTATAGAGGGTGGGAGAGGTGCATAGGTACAGTCTTGTTAAGTCTTTATCTTGAGAGCACTCTCCATCCCCTGAAATATTCTCTCTTAAAGTGCATATTGACCTCTGCTGCCTGCCACGTCCCGTGACCAGCAGGTTAAGTGTGTGCACATCAACCTCCTTTCAGCTGTCATCAGTCCATCCTATTCCAAGTCAGAGAGCTGCCTTCAAAGGCTGCCACTGTTCAGACCCTAATTATATCTAGGTCTAAGTAGAAGAAATGGCCATGCTATGCGTACCAGCAACCCTACTTTTGTGACCAGAGTACTTGTCCAAGAAACAGGACAGCTTAATAGAGAGTTTTCAATCCATGTTTTCCACTTAAATGTCACCGAGCAGCAAAGATCAACATTTTGTTGAAACAGAGAGAAAGAGTAAAAGACGGAACATGGTAAGGAGGAATTGCACTACTGTAGTCAGCTGTATAGGTTTTTCAAGTAAGAACGAAGAGTTCAGGGTTTCCTTTCTTAGCACTGATCTTGGCCACGTCACTCTTGAATGCTTCTCTGTGGATGGCCTCAGAAAAGGAGAGTCACCTCCATGCACAGTACAGCCTGGCAGATGATAAGTACTCTGCCCCCAGTCCAACAAAGACATGTATTTAAGATCATGAATAGCAGCATTAAGATCAGTTGTGGTTTTCCTATACCTACACATGTGCTTTGGTGCTTTCCGAAAGCCATACCAGCACCTTGTACTGGCTTCCACCCCTAGGCCATAGTTAAATATCACTTTCTAGGTGTAGCTGCCCCTTCTAAATGCACTTTTCCCTCCCTTTCTCTGGCACTCGCCACTTCCACCATTTTGCCAGCAGGTCATGTTAGAACTGCATAAACCATATAGGTTGCAGTTAGCCAGATAAGAAGAGGCCATCAGCTATCCCAGCAGAAGGAAATGAGGCACTGCTCAGTTAAACTACTCTGCCAGCTGATTAGTGGGAGCAGGGTGAACTTCTGGAGCTGGAAAAAAAACCACATTAGACCAGAGTCCTACTTTTCTACGCTAAGTCAGTTAGTGTAGAGTACACTGCCCCAGACCAGCTAGTCCTCTATACCTGAATTCTAAGCAAAAATGTTCAAGAACCAGATCTTCTCTAATACAGTCTTTTTTTTTTTTAAATTTTATAGCCCCCAAACCAATAAGCCATTCAGTGTCTTCAGTCAACCTCCGCTTTGGTGGACGTTCAACTATGAAATCTGTTGTATGCAAAATGAATCCCATGTCTGATGCTGCTTCTTGTGGATCAGAAGTCAAGAAATGGTGGACAAGACAATTAACTGTGGAGAGTGATGAGAGTGGAGAGGACCTTCTTGATATCTGAGAAAAATTTAAGTCATACTGCAACAACAACCACTTTAAGTACAATCTAATTTTCTATGTTTAGAATTGAAGATGTTGTGTAATGTACGATTTCTTTAAAATCAATGTGATAAATTTTTTCAAATGCTTATCATTCTGCCATATGAGACATAGAACACACTTATATGTTAGAATTCACCTCTATAGGTACTAACTGTACTTTAAGAAACCTGTATACAATAGCAGTACTAACAAAGCCAGAGAGACTATATTGCCTTTAGCAGACAGAGCGTTGAAAGATTTCATATGTTCTGTAGCTAAATAATGAAAATGGATTTTGATATACACACCTCTGTGTTTTTCTTCAACCTATACCGTACTTTAAAGTGGCAACACTTTACAATGCAGGGGTAATGTATTTCTTCTTTTTGTGTTTTCCTTCAGTTCCTATTTAGTGACATTTCTTTAGAAAGACTTTATTATTCACAAATGACCTGAAGAGGTCAGCACTGACTTCATGTTCAAGGGAAGTATTTTTACAAAGTACAGCTTCTGAATTACAAAACTGAGCTTTTTCTGGACCTTTTTTTAAAATATGCAAGATACAGGATAACTCATTTTAAAATCAGAAGGTGAAGGATTGGCTTTTAAAATGTAAATATCTTTGGGTTTTGGTTAATTATGCAAAGAGCTTGATTTTCATAGAGAAAACAGAAAAAACGGAGAAAAAAAAAAAAAAGACATGAAAACTGTGCATTTAAGCATCCAGCAAAAGACCTCCATCTGAAAAACACGGTTTATGCTTCATTTTTAGAATATACTGGTTACATATATGTATGGTGTCATTATACTCTTGTTACCTGGGTCCCATTTCCTTGTGTAGTCATAAGATAACTTTCTTCTTGTCCGTGTGATAAAAATTAGCATGTTGGGGGTTCTAATTACAGAGTAGTATTGTATGACTTTTAAAATACAGTTCAGTTTTGCGTGTATAGGCAGAAGTGAATTTTACTTACCCACGTTACCGCTCATGCTACAGCCCTGCAAAGCTAAGGCGTGACACTGTACCGTGGTTAAGCAACTTTGGCCCTTTCAGCCTGGCGCATCGTATTTGGACATGTTAGCCTTCTTGCATTTTATGAAGCACCAACAGTGCTACATTACCGCTGGTGAAATAGCAGCTATCCCTTTCAGAAAAGTTTTTGTCCAGTGAAAGGCCAATGTTATACAGAGACAGGGGTGGAGCAGAAAAGCCACAAAACTGAGCAGAGTTTGTTAGTTTCAGAATTTAAAGCTGTCTAAAAATGTGGGGTAAAACTGTGCCCTTCCCTCAAGGAAGAACTAAGAGGTTGCAGATTTTGTTGCTCGGCCCCTGACTGGGTTTTTTTTAGCATAGCTGGGACCTTTCCATTACCATTGTTTCCTATGGAAATGATAGGTTGCTCTAACATGGCCTGATGTGAGATCTTGTAAGAGGCTCACAGTTAATGTCCATCACCACTTAAAAAATATATCCTTTAAAAAGCAGACAAAAGCCAGCTCTTTGCCATGTTTTCTGGCCAAAATATTAATGTAGAGTGGTCAGAATACAGCATTGTTTTCACAGATGCCTTCACCATAAATGCAAAATTAGTTTTGGCCATAAAATACAGTTTTCTTGGCATTTATCAATGTTTTGTTCCCTGTGTATGGTTGAACATGGTTTCATTTCTTTTGGAAGTAGTCATATTGAACACATCTGTATTTTGTGGTTTCTTTATATGTTTTGAGGTATATTTAAGTTTAAATATAGTCAGCTGTATCTCTATAGTAACAGAACGTGTGCATTCTCTTGTTTACTAAATTATGAACCATCAACACAACTTCGTATGCAAATCCATTCTTTTGTGGTCTGTTTTGTGCTTGTTTAAGTTGAGCTTTTGTATATATGACAAAAAGATAAATATTTGATTTATAAATGATAATGACTTTGAACGTTCAATAATATATTGAACTGCAAATCTTTCTGATCATTCTTGCTGCAAATCTTCTTTTTAAAAAATCTGGCAAACATTTTTTCCTTGCCTTACAGTACTCTGTCAGTAAAAGTGAGTTGCTCTAACCAATATTCCTCCCTCTGGTTTTCATTCTAACTGCATTCGCTCTATCTGGCTCATCTGTGATAATGCTGCATAGTGGCTAGGTGTGTGGTTTGTACAGGATTACTTAGAAGAGGTGCTTTCAGACTCTTCTAGTTGGAGGGCCTTTAGTTTTTTGGTGAGAAGTCCAGCACATCAGTGATGACCTCATCAGTACTGCCATGAGGAGTCTCGTTCAAAAACTGGGACTAAATAGGCCTGTTTGTTATTTATTCTTATTTAACCCACTTTCTTTGTTTGCTTTAGAGCCTGGATGTGAATATGTGTGCACATGCGTTCACGCATGCACGCACGTGTGTGGGGCAGGGGGAAATTTGTAGTGGAAACATTGTAATGGTTTCATAGACTGCCTTCCAATATCTTCTAAAACACTGGAGATCCATGGACCATCTAATTTAACCCGCAAGCTGGCGCTAAGAAAGCAGTGCTCACCTGTTTATTCCCCCATTTTACTTTTGCAGATACAGGATGTGAAACAGAGTTACAAAGATATGGAAATAATATATACTAGAGCAGCCAGGCAACTAGGTTAAGGTGAAAACCTCTTTAGTATGGAACCCCTGACATAACCAAAGACAGTGATAACCTTCTACTCTGCAGCAAAGCAACCTATGCACATTTGCACATGAAGGTGAAGAAGCAGAGAGGAGAGTTGAAACATGACTGAAGTTCAAACAGCCCGCGCGAACAATGGAGGGACACAAAGAGGGAACAGTGCGTCAGGAGATCAGAGTCAGTCCAGACAGCCTGAGAGAACAGTTCAAACAAAACCAGACTCTAGACAAAGGTAAACAAAAAATTGCCAGGGGAATATTACTACCTACGGTGTTCTTGGCTCCTGGAATTAAATCTAGAGTTATCCTATGCCAATGGATAGACTCCTTTTCATCCTCTAAGAGAGCTCTGTTCCACAGGAAGTTAAGTTGTAAAAGTCTTCATGGCTTGGAAGGGCAAAAAGCATAGTGTGTGTTGTCAGTGCTTGAATAAAAACCAGCTTGTGGGAAGTCTGAGAACATGCAGCAAAGATGTATCTCAATATCGTTCCAAAGTCAGGTCAGATTTCAGACAATCACTTTTGTAATGAAGAAATTAATAACCTGAAACCATTTGCTACTGGAAGATAGCCAACTGAATTAAGAGCTAAAAACATAAAGTACACTTTTATCTGGCAAGCTGAAAATACCATCATTGTTTTAACTAATGAGGACCAATCAGGCTTAAACATCTTCAAAATAACATTACATTCAATATCATCTGCATTCAAAGACCAGTGTCACAGCTTCTGAGAAGCCAAAGAAGATTTAGATGCCAAAAGCAAGTGAACGACTTTGTGAGAATAATCTCTTTTATTCTCTTCTATTCACACATGCCCACAGCTCTTGTTATTGTGCAGATAAGGATGTCCATGAATAACTGAGGCAGGAGAAGAGTTCACACTGTTGTAACAGTACATTTGGAGCCCCAGCAAGCAAGATGTGTGCTAAACCTCCCATCCAAGAACGTGCACTCCTTCTCCTGCCACATTTCCACAAGTAAGAACAAACACTAGCCTAAGTTGCCAATCAAAATTACTAGTAGAATTATCTCAGTCACCCTGAATTTAGCTTTAGGAGGCTAAATTCATTCCTTCTATTGAAGGCAGTTTAGTCACACTGCAGATGAACTTGCCGCAATGCATAGGCTGATGCTGGGAAGTTGGCTGCCCTGGTTTGTTCAACTGCTCTGCAGCACAAAGGGAGCCTCAAAAGAATTCAATTAACTTTCCTCTTCATCCCAAGGGCGCTGGTGTCGGACCCCATTAGCAGCTGTTGCCCATTGTTCTCAGTGAAGAACCTCTAAGCACCAAGTTATTAACTCATCAGTGAGCTAAGTGTACAGGCAGTGGAATTGTATCCTCCTTCCACAGGTTCCTGTCTCAGATACTTATTCCAGTACCCTTACTGGTTTCATACTTCTACCTGACTTGCATATCTGCACTGGGGAGTTTGGGCAAATTACTTGGGCACCTACAAAATTGTGTTTCATAAAAAGCTAGCTTACAGGAAAGGCAAGAAATTTCTAAGTGCAGGTAGAAAAGAAAAAAAAAAACAAAAACAAACTTACCCAGTGTCTCCTCCAGTGTCTCAGTGGGCATTGCTTTGATTCAGGAAAGCTTTTGCTGAGGTTGGAAACAAACTGGTTAGTACCAGATAGACATCAGTGAGTCCTAGAGACTTGGGCGGTCAAGTTCTAATTGGATCCTCCATATGATGGAAGTCACTGCAGTGGGATTACTGTTTGTGAGTATATTTACCCCTCAAGGTAAGAGAAAAGGGTTTCTCCTTGAGTTCATTGGCAGAGAAGCTGGCTATCACATCCTGCCTCCTGCCCTGTATTCTGGTTTTCTTTTAGGTTTTGCTCCCCAACTGCATGTAAAGCAGACAGTGCCTTGGCATATTCTGCGCTCTCAGTACATGCTCCCAAGAAATGGGGGATTCAACACAGTTACGATTTTATCGTAATATATCTGATGACAGTTTGTAAGAGTAATGAATCCTGCTTTTTTATCTCAGCACCCATTCCACGGGACTACCTCTTCTACAGATCAGGTACTTTCACATCTCAGATTTTCTAAATCCATGCTGCCTGCAGAGTCTGTTTACCACACATTTAAAAACAAGAAAGAAAAAGAAAAGGAAAGAGAAAAATTAGAAAGAAAAAGGAGTTACCTGGGTGTTGTGGGGGTTTTTTTTTCCATTTTAGCAGCTACTTAAAAAAAACACAAGCCAATCTGTGTTTCTGCATAAAGACAAGCTTCTCATTTGTTCTGACCAAGCTAAGAAAACAAAAAAATGTTTTACCTTTTTTTTAATGTGTCCATTTCTCAAATGCACCTCTGTTTTGA